GGGGGTCTTGGAACGTATTACCCATGGATAAAGGGGCGGGGACTACTGTAGTTAAACCTCTCGCATGAGATTATTGTAATGTGTAGATTAAGGTAATACCTAGAAAGTGCTTTCCATGGCACCAGACACATAGTGAGTACTCAATAAAAAGTAGCTACTTTTTTATCATTATTACTACTATTTTTTATTATTACTACTAATAAAATAATCACCCTTCAAACCTAAAAGCAAAACAAAACAGGTTTAATGGAAGTGAGAATATGAGAGTATCAATGATAGAAGGTTGTGAGCAGAGAATAGAACACTGGATTTCAGATGGGGTGTAGGTGACATCCAGGCTGTGGTCATGACAGCTTGTGGCTAAAGTGGTGTGAAGGTAAAGATCATCGTTTGGAGTTGAGGTCAAGGAATTGTGTAGAGGTTATGGCTGGTTATCTACATGATACCTATAGGAAATGAGGTGAAGAGGAACACTCAGTTGCAAAGACCTCAATGGATGTAGGCGAATAACTGGGAAGATAGATGGTACCACCCTGGGCTTTCCCAGGACCTCCACCCCTCTTTCTCCCAGTTCTTGCTAGCTCATGTCTACCCCAACTCCAACCCACCTTTCCTTCCAAATAAAATAAAAATCAGAAAAAAGCAAAGAAAAATGCCCTAGTATTTTCCAACAGCATCTCACAGACACATGTTGGGCACTTAATAAGCACAACATGATATAGATACTATAAGGAGGTTAAAATATTCTTCCTGCCCCAATATCGTGTAATACAGGTGAACAGATTAAACATGGATACAAACACTACATATCGATATCACAGGTACTTTATAAATCCCAGCATCATTTCTTACTCTATATCTCCCTCACATGTACTCACACATGGAAGCAGTGCTATTAGCTGCTCAACAGGATAGTAGCTCCCTTGTGTTGCTTATTGAGACTCCGTTTTCATTCAGCTCTCTCAGCTATCTTACCCTCTCGCTCCAATCTGGCTTTTGTTCTTTAAGTTCGAAGTCTGATAAGGGATGGCTCACCTATGGCTTTCATATTTGAAGTAAAGAGAGCTTTATGCAGATTCTGCCTTTTTATGGATTTTCTCTGATAGTAGAGAGATTCGAACCATAGCCGATACCTGCCAGTCTAAGAAGAGAGACAGAGTCACTTAAAAGCATCTAACATGCTGTGATTTTAAATATAATTCATACCACTTTTTTCTATGATATATCATAATATTTTTTCAAAAATCATTATGCATTATATTAACTCTGAAGAAGGAATAAGAATAGCTACTTTAAAAACTACAGACACTCAAGCACTGATTGATCTATTCAAAGAGTTTCTGCACAGCTGAAGAAGTTTACGTCAAAGGGACAAAAATAGTATAGAAGACCTATGAACAGAATGATCCGTCTCTAGAAAGCAGGTCAGATGGACTAAAAGGCCTCACTGAATGTAGGAAGCAACATACAGCCCTCTTCTGAGGAATAAAGGTAGAAACCAGTCCATGCAGTCAAGAAAAAGTTCTTTGGCCTCCTGGTCTAAATGCTTGCCTCCAGTGTGGGTTCAGAGAAAGGTCCTGATCATTTGAACTGGTTGTCAATCAAGGTCCCCTTCATTTTCGCTTTCTTTGCTTCCAGTTCAGCCTGTGGAGGAAGAACAGTATATGTTCTGATACATGCTATGAAATTCTTATATTACTTCTTCATATTAACTGCCCAAGCACAATCTCTCCATGCTCAATTAGTATACAAACTGGTTCTAAAATCATATGAATCTTTAGCAACTGCTTTCCAAACTTTCGGATGTTATCACACACATAGAAAATGATAACGTCTGTATGGTAAAATGGCATAAATACACAAGGCGATCAAGTGTAGGGATCCTGCAACACCAGAGCCCCTAAAGGGCTGAGGGAATCAATATCATGGCATATCTTGGCACAACAGGATAAAAAATACTGCTCTTGAACAGTGCTACTTAATGTTGTAATGTTGTGTGGTCCATGAAACTGTTTGTTATGGGTCCATGCAAGATACATACAAAACTTGAGAGTAAGCATTTAGAATCTCTTATAGTCATGTGACAGGTTAATAATAAAATAATTTAACTTGAAGAATTGAGGAAAATTCATTTCTTTGCATTTTATGTTATAAATCTGTTCCTGACAAATTGAAAATTTAGAAAAAAAGAAAGCACTGGTTCTTCACCTCAGAAATTTGATAAACACTGCTCTAAACCACTATGGCAAGGTAAAGCAGCTTCTAAAACCCACCATCTCTGTCACCAAAAAAATCCTCTAGTCATTGGGTTAGACTGGTGTACCATCTGATGAGGCACCAATGTAGTGATACCTCATTTTAAAGAAATATCATAAGTAAATTATTGTCAAGAAAACAAAAATGTAGACATCATCATATATAGGCGTCCATGCTCTATGATGAACCCGTGAATAATGCAGAAACTGGTGGTGGTACTAGTGCTTTCAGAAGCAATAACCAGCCCTAAACGTGGTCCCACCAATGTAACACTATCATATGCCATCACATACTTGGAGAGCTTTCATGAACCCTGATCTTTAACTCCTGACCTTGGACCACAAGTACCAGATTAAAATATCATTCTAGTTGGGGCTACGTAACAAGTATTATCATTTAGGGCCTGGATTCTGTGATCACTACTCCAGAACAGGGTGTATTGACAGTCACAGCCCAGGGTTAGATGCCTGACAGCCGACTATACTACTAACTCCCGACAGACTTCCTAAGGGATTTCCCTGACTGCTGGAGCGTGTTTCAGACCAAGAGATTCAAATAGTCAAGCCCAGCACCTTGCCATCCCATGCCACTTACCAACTCTTGTAGCCGCCTTTTGCTCATGCCTTTCCGCTCCAGCTGTTTTTCAATCACTTTGGCATTCTGTGCATACGAGTCAGCCACTTCTCTCTGAGGGAAAAAAATAAGCATCTTTAAACCAGCAGTCCTACCAATGAGTAACAAAAGAGACCTTAAGTTGCCATTTATACCACTCAAATTATGAAATTATTACTGAAATGGCAGGAGTCTGTTCCCTTTCAATTCTTCAGCTTTTCAGTAATCTGGGAGAGTTCAGGTTTCAACTGAAACCATTTTGAAAATAAAAGGTAACATCTTTCTCTGTAAACATCATTATACTGAAGTACTTACTATAAAGGTAATTGCTGCTACTGCTAAGGGCAGACTCATAATCCGTCAGAGCTGGACTGAAAGGGACCTGAAATCATTGAGCCCAACAGTATTTAAACTGAAGAGGGATGAGGGATTTGCCCCCTAAGGCATCTCAAAATGAACAAACAAACAAACAAAAAAACAGTATGAAAAAAAAACACTGATCTAACCTAACTCCCTGGTTCTCATTTTCCAGATGGCCCTGGGATCCAGGGACACAAGAACTAATCAGTATCATAGTTTTTTACTAGCAGAGCAATGTCTACAAGTAGTCTCTAATTATTCTGCTACTGGATGCTCTAGTTCTAAAGCCCCTTTCCTTTCACCACCCCCAGTCCAATTTCCTTAAGAACAGAAGCACTTACAGCCTCAATCTCCTCTTCCTCTTCATCAATAGTAGACACAGTGACAGAGCTGAACTTGCCCATGTCTTTAGTCCGTTTGGTCATCATCACCTGGAGTCACAGAAGAAGAATCAGTCTAGATCACTGTAAGAGGCTCTGTGAGTCATGAATGTGATTGTGTGTGTGTCCATGAGAGAGAGAGAGAGAAAGAGAGAGACAGAGAGAGAGAGAGACAGAGAGACAGAGACAGAGAGACAGAGAGACAGAGAGAGAGAGAATGCATGCGCACGTGCGTGGGTGCTGGGGAGGTAGGTGGCGGGGGGGATGGGGATACCCATCTCTCTGGGACAGGCTGGCCTATCTAAAAGTGCCAATGCTTTTATTTGCATTATATTTTTCTAATTTTTGCCATCAAAGATTTTTAAAGTATATTTAAAAATTAGCCTGATTCATTCCATTTTAAATTGTTCACACTGGAAAAAGAAGAAATTTGGAAGGAAATAAATGTAAATAAAAAACACACAATTTCTAACTTTACTCATAGGGCAGCTGTAGGAAAAGAAAAAAAGAACACATAATAGACGTTACATCTATAAAACATGTTACATCTATATAATTGACCTTTATAAAGGGCAGTTTCTCATGTACTATAATATTGTTTTAAAATTTAGCTAAACCCGTAGCTATGTTAACCAGTCTGTCTCCTTCAATGATAATTACCTTTTTAGGAGGCTCTTGCTTCTGAGTATATATATTCGTTTTCCCAAAGCCCTGGCCAAACTTGACTACTGCTCCATCCACTATGAAGGTCACTGGAGCATTCTTCGGCTGGGACTGGTAGAAGAGTGGCAGTCCACACCTGCAAACACCAGAGTGATTCTCTGGGAGGCCTCAGAATCCAGATCTCCAAAACGCTGATTCACAAAGTATGCTCAGACTCCAGGAATTGTGCTTGTGTGTGTGTGTGTGTGTGTGTGTGTGTGTGTGTGTGTGTGTGCGCGCGTGCGCGCGCGTGCGTGCATGCATGTGTGTGTGATAAACTAATGATGAGCTCTTCCCAGTGTTTCCCAAAACTACTCGATAAGAATCACTGAGGGTGCTTGTTAAAATTGCTGATCAGATGCCTAGGCTCCTCCCTTAGGAGATCCTGATTCAGCAAATCTGGGGAGGGGAGGGCCTGAGAATCTGTCATTTTCTTCAGCATCCAAGTGATTCTTATCATCAGACAAATTTGGCAAACAACTGCTTTCCAATCAAAACTGCTGCCATTCTTTCCAAGTGTCTGGATAACTATTTGGGGGGTTTTGTCTAGTTTTGCTTTCTTTTTTCAGTGTCATGAGGGAGTGTAAATGCTCCACCGCAGTGGTCGGCACATGAATTCCTGTAGTAATGGCTCACTTTGGCTGGTCATTTTTATTATACTTTTTCAGCTAAATGAAGGAGTCCCATAAGATCTGATAAAATTAATCTAATGAATCCAATGTAGCTGTGAACTAAAAATGCCTTCTTAGCCATTTCCCTGATTTAATTCTCCTAGTCGGAGTATTCTGAGAGCAAAGATGTAACTGTAGTTAACTTCAACAAGATTAAACTTACTACAATTTACTATTCTATTAACCTAAAGCTGGAAAAAAAAAAAAATATATATATATATATATATATATATATATATTGGGTTGTTGGGAAAGTCATGATGCATTTTTACATGGAAAAACAGAAAAATATGTCATGACTTTCCCAACGACTCAACATAAATATATTAAATAAAGTTCTGGGGTCTGTGGTCCTATAATAGGCTTTCTAAATAGGCCTGGATTAAATTACACTGTGTTATATTTACCATATGACCCAGCAACCCCATCCCAAGAGAAAACACATGCTCCCACCAAGATGTATACTAGAATGTTCACAGCAGCTTTATTTGCAATAGCCAACACCATTAACAACTCAAATGCCCTTCAACAAGTGAACTGTGAAACAAACTGTGGTGCAATGAAATACCACTCAACAATAAAGAGGAACAAATTACTGACATACATAACAACTTGGATGAATCCCAAAAGCATTATGCTAAGTGAAAGAAACCAGTAATAGATACATATTGTATGTAGTAGAGTACATATTGTAGAATTTACAGAAAATCTTAGAAAAGGCAAAACCACTGTAACAGAAGGCAGATCCATTATTGCCAGGGGAGAGAGGTGAGGAAGGCGACTGACTGCGAAGGGCACATGGGGTACTGGGAAAGTTCTGTATCATGGTTGTGGCGGTGTTACATGACTGTGTGCTTTTGTCAAAACTCATCAAATTGTACACTTAAGAAGGGGAAATTTTATCATGTACAAATTACATTTCAATTTTTAAATTTATACTATGCTGAAAAAAAACACATTTTTGTGGCCATCTGGTCAGAGATGTAACTTTGACTAGTCTTTTCAAGAAGCATATTGATATTTGTGTAGTTGAAGTCTTAAGGATACAACAGAGAATTATTATCCAAATAATTATGTTCCTAACACATTATTGCCTCTATTTGCTTATGCTCAAAGAAACCTACACTGTTAATACCTACTTTGCACATTTCTTCCTGTACTGCCGTTCAATGCCTTCAGACCTGCACAGAAAAAGGAAGTTAAAGAAGATATGAACAAAATCTCTTCACATACAAACCTCACTATCTCATTTCTTCAAATGTTAAAAGGGCCTTTCAAAAGTTTTCATTTCATATATCAACTGGTTATTAAATATGTATTAATTTTATTTTATTTTATTTTTTTATTTTTAAAGATTTTATTGGGGAACTGGGGGAGGGGAACAGTGTTGGGGAATTGGGGAACGGGGACAGACAAGTTGTTGTTCTTCATCCTTTGTTGTGGAGGGCGCCAGTCGCCATCTGGCTTCCCCTCGGCAGCTCGTGGCCTCTAAGCTCAATGTGCTGTGTTCAATCTTAGTTGCGGATAGGTGTAGCCACCATCCCATGCGGGAGTTGAACCAGCAGCCTTGTTGTTAAGAGCACATACTCTATCCACTGAGCCACCCGGGCAGCAGCTCAGCTCAAGGTGCCAAGTTAGGTCTTTAGTTGTGGGCGGGCATAGCCCACCTTCTTGAACAGGCAACCTTGTTGTTAGGAGCACATGTTCTCACCAGCTGAGCCATCCTGCCACCTGTTGGCAGCTCAGCGACAGCTCAGCTCTGGCGCAGCGTCACTGGCCCATGTGGGAATCGAACCAGCGGCCCATGTGGGAATCGAACCAGCGGCCCTGTTGGTCAGAGTTTGCATTCTTAAGCCAACTCTTAGCCAACTGAGCCACTCGGCTGGCCCCAAATATGTATTAATTTTAAAGCATTTCTTCTTTCCACAAATATGTACTGAGCCCCTCATGTGATTCCCTGACAGAGGAGGAGGAGCAGTAGTCAAAGCAGCAGTCATGGTCTCAGTGATAACAATAACAATAGTGGCAACCATTTGTATACCTTTTACCATGTGACCCATTTAATCCTTACAGCAACTTTGTGAGGTAGGTCCTATTATCATTCTCATTTTATAGATGAGAGCTCCTAGGCATAAAGCAATTACATCATTTGCCCAAGGTCATAGAGTTAGGAAGTAGAATAGGTTGAATTCAAGCCCAGACTGTCAGGCTCAAGAGCCCACGTGACACTGCCTTAGATAACCAACTCTTTCACCCATCCAGTTGCTTAACAAAAACCTGAGACTCATCCTTGATTCTTTGCTTTTCCTCATCTCTCACACCTACTTCATTTAGGAAATCCTGTGGCTTGTATCTCCAAAAAAGATCTTGAACTTGTCTAATTTTCGCCACCTTCCTGCCTTCCTGCCACCATCTTAGTTCAGGCAACCAGTATCTCTTCCCTGAACTATTATCACAGTTTCCTAACTGGTCTCCTCACTTCCCCTCCCTTTGTTTGTTTCAATTTTTTAATAGGCAGTATGTGCACATGATATACATAGAGTATGAAATGAGAAGTAAATATGCTCCCCACTCATCCTCCACCCACCCAGTTCTCTTCCCCAGAGGCAAATACTGTTTCTTCTGTTCCTCCCAGAGATGGTCGATGATACAAGAAAATAATCCTTATTGGTATATATAGAAAAAAAATATTTTTTTATTTTCCTTTTTAGACAAGTGTAGCATACCTTATACTGTTCTCTACCTCTTTGTTCACTTAAAAATATATATTGGTTAAAAAATATATATGTGATCCTTCCCCATCATTGATAAAGAGCTGCCTCATTACAAGGTCTGTATTGTATTCCTTTGTATGGATGAACCAAAATGTCTTTTACCTGTTGGATAAATGCCTAGAAATGTGTCCACTTTAACTTATGATAGACACTGCCAAATTACTCTCTAGAGAAATTGAACCAATTTATACTCCCACCACCAATGTGAGAGTTCCTGTTACCCTACAGTCTCAACAACCTAATATATTATTAAAATGCACTATTGCCAATCTAGCACATGAAAACAGTGATCTTGTAATTTGTATTTCTTTTTTTAAAGAGTGAAGTTAGGCATCTTTTCATATATTTAATAGGCATTTGTATTTTCTTTTGTGTGTGTGTGTGAACTTTCAGTTCCTACCCTTTGTCTTTTTATTGTATATTAAGGAGACTTGCAAATATTAAAGGGCCTTGCAAATATTTCGCCCCAGTTTGATATTTGTTGTCTTTGACTTTTCCCCCACATGGAAATTTTAGATTTTTGCGTCATTAAATCAGTAGTGTGTGTGTGTGTGAGAGAGAGAGAGAGAGAGAGAGAGAGACTTAGGCCTTCCCCACTCTAAATTTATATCTATAATAAAAATCCAACTGCTTATTGGAATCTGCTTCCACTACAGTCTCACTCCAAATCATTCTCTAGAGTCAAGAGTGGCTTCTGAAGACCCCCAGAATAAAATCCAAACTCCTTATCATGGTCTATCAGGCAGCAACTGAGCCCATAATTGGGCCCCCACCTCACTTGATACATTCCCTCCCTCTCTCACTATGCATCATCCACATCAGTCTTTCTTCTGTTCTTTGAACCAAGAAGTGCTTCCCCACCTATGACCTTTCAGACACACTCTTCTTTCTGCCTGGAATGCTCTTCTTACCACTTTGCCAAAGCTGTACAGTTCTCATCTTTTTTGGTCTCAGTTCAAATATCACCTAGTCATAGAGGCCTTCCCTGACTACCTTTTCTAAGAGGTTCTCATGTGATTCTCTGTATGAGCCCTTTGTTTCAGTCATATGACCTTCCATAATCATAATTACTTGATTTTTCTGTCATCCCACTAGATTGTGAGGTCCATGAGATCAAAAAACAGTGGAGATCATGCCTGTCTGTCTTAACACTCTACTCCCAGAGCTGAACAAACTACTGGAAACAAAACAGACAAGCAGTAAAGGTTGGTTGAATGAATTATTTTAAGAATGCAGTTTTGGGCCGGCTGAGTGGCTCAGTTGGTTAGGAGCACGAGCTCTGAGCAACAGGGTCGCCGGTTTGATTCCTACATGGGCCAGTGAGCTGCGCCCAAGCTGAGCTGCCACTGAGCTGCCAACAGGTGGCAGGATGGCTCTGCTGGTGAGAGCACGTGCTCCTAACAAGGCTGCCGGTTCGACTCCCCCATGGGATGGTGGGCTATGCCCACCCGCAACTAAGATTGAACACCGCACCTTGAGCTAAGTGACTGCTAGCTGCCAACGGACGGCCAGATGGCGACTGGACTTGGATCTGAGCTAGCTGTGCATCTCCACAACTAAGACTGAAGGACAACAACATGGCTGTTCCCCTTCCCCAATTTCCCAATAAAATCTTTAAAAAAAAAGGAACTCAGTTTAGTGAGGAAAATTATAATCATGGAGGTAAGTTCTATAATGGAGGAATATATGCAGTGTAATGGGAACACAGAGGTCAGAGCCATCAGTCTGTCCTAAGGCTTCATGAAGCAGTAATGTTCAAGCTGACAGTCCTGATAGAAAATGGTATTTCAGGCAGAGGGAACACTATGTGCAAAGGTAAAACAGAAAAATATATTCAGAAAATTACAAATAGTCTGTTACTAGGACTTAAAAAAATCAAAGGAGTACTACAGATCTTACAGACATTAAAAATATTTTAAGATTACATTATGAATAACTATACACCAACAAATTAGATAACCTAGATCAGGGGTCGGCAAACTTTTGAGACTGAAGAGCCACCAGGGGTCAGCAAACTGATGCTCGTGAGTTGTAGGCGCTGAAGTAAAATTGAAAATGAAAATAAAACTATCATAGTTTCATTGATAAAATTTGTAAAGGATATCATTCAGATAATGATGATTATGTAAAAATATATTTATGGCTCTCAAATAATTTTTAAATTGTTGTGAGGGACAGGATTGGCTCTTCCAGGGGTCGGCAAACTTTTGAAATGGAACGCACGCAAAGAGCCGCATGTGGCTCGCGAGCCGCAGTTTGCCAACCCCTGACCTAGATGAAAGGGACAAATTCCTAGAACGACAGAATGACAAAAACTACCAAAACTCACTGAAAAAGAAATAGAAAATCTGAATAAAGTACAAGCAATCAAAGAAAAAAATACATAAATGGAACTTGATTAAAATTAAAAACGTTTGTGCTTCCAAAAATACCACCAAGAAAGTGAAGTCAACACACAGAATGAGAGGAACTACAGTGGTGCTGCTTGGGGTGTAACTCCAAAGTTTGTGCTCTCCACCATCTTTAACACTCTGCCTCTCTGCTTATAAGTGTTATGTATGTCAAATGTGTTCCCATTTGCTAACTTTACTGGACTAGGGCATTCGCAATATTTTCAGTCATGTGTACCCCATCTGGCTCCTGCTGGGATTCTAAATTCAGCCTCAGCTTGAAGGGAAAGGTTATTCATGCAACTGATTTCTGGAATCCTGAAGTCAGCCAATCTCATAAGCCGGGGCTTTCAAAGCACAGGAATGTCAAATAAAGGGGGTTGTATATTTCCCCATGAGTTAATTTTCAAATACCTAAGACAAATGGGATTTTTCAAGTTTATAAAAATTGATCTATTCCTAGCTATGTGCCAAGAATCAGGCAAGATGTCCTAAGGGTTTCAGAAATAGAAGGCAGGGTTCTTGCTCTCAAAAAGTTCATCTTTTTGAGACATTGAGCCTCTAACATAAATGAGACAAGGCTTTTAAGTGGTATGATTATAAAAAAGTGATTAATATGAGCTAGACATTTAGACTAATTGACCTCGGTTGTCTTTCCTACCCTTAACCCTTAGGAATATATGCAATAGGGAAGGCAGAAAACAAAACATTCTCGCTGGTTGTGGTAGACAGCCTCTAAGATGGCCCCCAGTGATCCTTTCTCCCTGCTATTGATACCCTTGTACAGTCCTCTCCCACAATGAACAGGGCTGACCTGTGACGCCAATAGGGCACTGCAGAAATGATAGTGTGTGGCTTTTGAGTTTTGGACATAAAAGACATCGTGGCTTCCACCTCATTCTCTCTTGGATTACTCATGCTATGGGAAGCCAGCTGCCATGTCACGAGGACACTCTAGCAACCCTGTAGAAGATCCCGATGGTAAGGAACTGAGGCTTCACCCCAGCAGCTGGCGCTCAGCTGCCAACCATGCAAGTGAGCCACCTTGGAAGTGGAACTTCCAACCCAATCAAAACTTTAGATGACTGCATCCATAGTCAATCTCTTAACCACAGCTTCATGAGAGACCAGAACCATCCATCTCAGCTGCTCTTGAATTCCTTACCCACAGAAACTATGAGATGATAAATGTTTGTTTGTTGTTTAAAAAACTAAATCAAGGGCGTCCCAGGAGATGAGGATGAACAGGTATGCCAACGTCAGATCATAGAGAGTCTTCAAGCTTAGATTTTATCCTGCTAACCAAGATTTTTAAAATTGTGCTCCACGATGGCCCCTAAATGAAATTGGATAGGGGAAGGAAAGGAATCCTTTAATGGGCTGGGCTCAACTCTTCCCCAATCAGAGCATCTTCCTGCTTATTTATATTTCTGGGAAGAATTTCATTTGAAGAAAGGATTCACTGTCTAAAAATGTTTGAAAGGCACTGCTGTAGGTCATGAAAAGTCACTGAAAGATCTGAAACAGGGGATTGACAAATTGTGCATTTGAGATAATTCAGACAGTAGACAACAGACTGGAGGAAAGGAAAACCAGAGGCAAAAAGACCAGGTAAGAGGCCACTTCAACAGCCCAAGCAAGTGATTTTGGGTACTGGCAATGATGGCAGTGTAGCAGGGTGAACGTGAGGAGGCAGCCATAAGACAGATTAGAAGGTAGAATTGACAGTACATGGTGAGTGACTGGATTGTGCAGGGGATGGTGGGAGCGGGGGTGGAAGAGACAAAGAGAGGACTGGCTCCCAGATTTCTACCTTGGGCCACTGTATGAATGGTGATGTCATCATAGGAGGAGGAAAAAGAAGGAATTGTGTTTGGCTGATAGTTACAGGAACCTGACTACAGTGGCTTCAACAGAAGACTTTGTTTTCATATAAAAGAAGTCTAGAGGAAGGTGGCTCCTGGCAATGGTAGAGACCCAAGGAAAGTATAGCAAAAGCTCTGCAATTCTTGTGGCCTTTCCTTTCCAGTTCCAGGATGGCTGCTGGTGCTCCAACTATCAAATCTGTTTTCCAAAAAGCAGGAAGAAATAAGTAAAATGGGCTTTCCTTGGAAGCCCCACCTAATGACTTCTACTTCCATCCTTTTACTTGGGAAAAGCTAAGTCATATTCAGAACCTTAGGGTTTTTTTGGGGGGGGGAGGGGGGCTGGAATATGTGCCCTAACTTTATAGACATAGTATAAAGGCAGGTATAAGAAAAAAGTGTTGGAGTGGTGCTGAGTGAACCAATCTGTGGCGTTTCCTACATTAGAGAAATGATGAGTTTGGACTTAGTCATGTTGAGTTTGGACTTAGTCATAAAATCAAGGTCAGAGACCTGGGGAACACCAACATTTAAGGGCAGGCAGAAGAATCCAGAGGACTGAGAAAGCCAAAGAAGTAGAAGGAGAATCACAAGAGCAGTTTCACAGAAATCAAGGAAGGAGACAGCATCAAAGGAGGCATGGTCAACAAAGATATGGACAGAAAAGCACCTATTAGATTTGCAACTGGGGGAGTGGAGGATAAGGGAAAGATGGGAATAGGGAACTACAGTGTCAAAAGAGAGGTACTTTATTTTTTATTTTTTATTTTTTTATTTTAAACAAGATAATTTATTGGTGTGTGAATGGAACATATATGGAATGTTTTTGTTGGAGAGTATCATATATTTTTTTCAATGATGTCATCTCTAAAAATATTTTTAGAACATTCATGTAGAAATGACTTTAAGAACCATTTATAAGTCACATAAGACATCCAGTCATATTTTTTTATATTTCTGTATAATTAATCCTTTAATTTTTGCATACAGAGCCCTGTCAATATTTTTTTAATTTTTTTTGTTAGTTTCAGGTGTACAGAACAATGCAATAGTTATCCTTTTCACCCTCACAAAGTAACAACCCCCCCTCCCCCCATGTATTGCCCTCCCGCCCCCAATACCATACTTATCTATTACAATTCCATTGATTCCATTCCCCCAAGAGAGGTACTTTAGAATAGAGAGACTTGGAGGTAGAAAGTGATAGGCTCCAGGGCCTGTGTTGGGCAGATTGATGCATTTTTATTTTATTTATTTTTTTAGCTGAGCCATCCTGCCACCTGTTGGCAGCTCAGTGGCAGATCAGCTCAGGCCGGGAATCGAACCAGCAGCCCTGTTTCTCAGAGCTCACACTCTTGAGCGAGCTCTTAACCAACTGAGCCACTCAGCTGGCCCCCAGCTGATGCATTTTTAGTAACTGGTGTTCCCACACTCAGCTGGCTACAGAAGAGGAAGAGGAAGAGTAGACCGAAATTCCATACTGGCCAGCAGGGGAGTACAGTACAGTGGGCCCTTGGGAAGACTGTTCATGATTAGAGCAGGAACTATGTCAACCAAGGGGGAAGTTTACCATGCCTTGTTGGTAAACTCTAAGAACTCTGTGGCCCAACAGAGTCACTTGGCCAGAGACCACTGGTCTGGGCAGTACCTGGCAGTAAGGCTGGGCCTGAAGCTTGCTCACTTCTAGGATCAGGCTGACTGGATTCCAGGGCTTCTACTTCAGCCTAGGGCCACCCAGTTTTCTGGCCTAGAGTTGAGGGCATCTGCTTTATAGTGCCATAAGAGTCTGTGGCCTAGTTGTGTTGTTATACTACTTTCTGTATTAACTGAATAATATATATTCATTTAATATATATAATGTATAATTTTAATATGTAATAAATATTTTACCAATTCTAAAGACAGTCACTTAATAATCTTCGAAATCACAAATCTAAATAAATATTAATGGAGGGAGAAAGAGCACAAAGGATGGACTAGCTTTAGATAGGGCATGTTATTTATAAACCTTTCTATATACCATAGAAATGAATGTTTCCCCAATGTTTCCTGGAGGGCCTTCCTTTGTGAATTCCATAAGTTTTATTATAATGGGCACCCTTGGTTGTATCTTGTACATAACCAATTTTCTCTTCAACTGCATAATTCTAGAAACCCAGTTGTCACAATGGGGCTTGATGCCTGATTTGTTATTGAATGTAGCCTAGCAGTGGTTTCTAACTCTTTTCATTAGTGTGGGCTGATAACAGTTTGATTTCTTTCTTTTTTTTTTTAGCTGAGCCATCCTGCTACCTGTTGGCAGCTCAGCGGCTGCTCAGCTCGGGCCGGGCATCAAACCGCTGTTGCTCAGAGCTCAAACTCTTGAGCGAGCTCTTAACCAACTGAGCCACTGGGCTGGCCCGCAGTTTGATTTCTTAAATAAAGATAGCTAGATGTCAGCTGGTAACTTTTTCCGGTTCAACACTAGAATATAAGTTCTACCAGGGGAGGATTCTTTGCTTGTTTACTAGTTGTACTGGGTTGGAGTGCCCCTTAAAAAGTCAAGTCCTTCTAGGAACCTCAGAATGTGACCTTATTTGAAAAGAGGGTCATTGCAGATATAATTATTTAAGATCAGGTCATGCCCTTAATCCAATGTGACTGGTGTCCTTATAAGAAGAAGAAAAGAAACACAGGGACAGAGACACAGGGAGAAGGCCATAAGACAATCCAAACAGGGATGAGCATGGTACATCTACAAGCCAAGAAATGCCAAGGATCACCAGCAAACACCAGAAGGTAGGAAGAGTCAAGGAAGGATCCTCCCCTAGAACTTTCAGAGAGAGGATGGCCCTGCTGACACCTTAATTTCAGACTTCTAGCCTCCAGAACTGTGAGACAATTAAGTTTTGTTGTTTTAAGGCACCCAGTTTAGCAAACTAATATACTAGGATATCCCAGGTTTCTAAAACAGTACCTGGCAAGTGGTAGGAGACCAATAAATGAAATATTTGCTGAATGAATGGATGGACTTTTTAATTCCCCAGAATTGACCTCTCTGTGGCATTTGGTACCTGTTGATGACCACCCTACTCACACACACACTTCTTGAAACTCTGTCCTCTCCCATTTTCCACATCACCAGGTTCTCCTTGTTCTGTTCCAATTATTTTGTCTGCATTTTAAATGTCAATGTTTCCCAGTATTGTATCTTTAGTCCTCTCTTCTTCTTGCTCCATATTCTTTCTATGTAATTGTATCACTTCCCAGGTTTCAATTCCCCTAATATACCAACAACTCCCAAATCTAAGAGAGATCTAACCGTGTCACTCCTCTGCTTAAAAAAAAGGTTGGACCTTAACTGTGTACTTCAGCATTTTACTCTGTCCTCACCCCAGGAGGTATGAACTCCTCTGGTAGAGAGACCTGGGCTCTAGCCACAAAGGACTATTCAATTTTCCCAAGCATACAATAGTTGATGCTTTTAATGCTTCCATATTCCCTTCATCTGGAATGTCCCTCCTTCCTCTCATCTACTTTGTGAAATCCTAGTTCAAGGCCAATCACAAATGCCACCATCTATTTCTACCTCTCCTGACCACCTTTCAGGCAGGATGAGCCACTCCTATCTGTTTTCCCATAGCCTTTTGTTCACAACACCAGTATTTTATCATATCACAATAGGTAGCCTGTTCCCTCACTCTGAGCCATGAGCTCTTTGATGGTAAGGATGTTACTTTATTCATCCTCACAGATCCAGTCCCTAGCTCAGTGCCTGCACATAGTAATCTCTAAGAGATTACAAATTGAATGAACTCATTCTACTTGCAAAAAAACAAAATTACAACTCTCAAATGGCAACAGAATTACATCTCAATCCATTTCAACAAAACACAATAAAGATACTGGCTGCATTAACAGAAGTTAGAGATCTACCACAAACGTCAAAGCATTAGGCCCAAATGGATGACCTGTTCAACACTAGATGGGGCATTTATAGTCCTAGAAGTAGACCCCAACATAATAAGGAAAGCCTAGACAGAGAACATCGACATATTACCTGCGAAGATACATAGTTTCCTCATCTTCTGTGTTACAAAACTTGTGGGCGTGTTTGGCAGCATCAATCACCCGGGACCGATCCCGGGGCCTCATGGGTAATTTCTCCAACTGACAGTCTGAAGGAATGGAGAAAGATTTGGTTACTATAGTCACCGAAAAATATCCTGAGGCAATCAGAAGTTTTCAGTGGGGCCCCCAGCACTGTAACTTTTACTATAATTACTATGCCTATTGAAGCCTATTATTGAATTTTCCAACTAAAAATGGCTTGGCATCAGGAGATCTGAGTTTTAGTTTCAGCTCTGTTACTACCCTGATGATCTTTGGCAAATCACTTCCTCATTCTGGAGTCTTTTCCTTTATTTGAAGGATGAATAGATTATATTAACTCAGAAGTCCTTCCCACCACTGCAATTCAAGTTTTCTGTATTTCTGTGATTCAAATGTCATGGTACACTTGGTTTGTGTTACAGTGCATTAGAAGCAGAAGAGATAATCAAGCATCCTCCAGTGACTATGAGGAAGGCACTGGGAAAAGTGGATAAGTGCTTAGAAAAAAAGAGAGGTAGGTGGTATGCTATATATAGTATGCAAATGACCCATCCCAGTTAGAGGAGTTTTAATCCAAAAACAATGAAAACACACAGGAAATAAATTAGGTACAGTTATAAACCAGATGGAAAATTGATATAATGCAAATTAAGTAACTAAAGGATCACAGAGAACTCAAGTGATCAGAGTGATTCAAGATTAATGAAGGAGGTGGAGACGGGAGTTAGAGAACACCAGGCAGTTTGCACTTTAGCTCATTACTCTTCACATCGACCTGTTGGAGCAGACATTTAGTATTCCTAGTTTAATGATGAGGGAATTGAGGCTTAGAATGGGTAAGAGATCTTGTATGCATTTAATGAGAAGCAGAACAAGAATTCAGACCCAACTCTAGGTGATCAAAAGAGAATTCATTTATCCAATAAATATGTGAGGGTCCTGTATGTACCAGGCACAGTTTGAACATTGTGCTGGGGATTCAGCAAGAATAAAGCAGTCAGGGGCGGCTGGTTAGCTCAGTTGGTTAGAACGCAGTGCTCACAACACCAAGGTTGTCGGTTCGATGCCCACATGGGCTGCTGAACTGCGCCCTCCACAACTAGATTGAAACAACTACTTTTCTTGCAGTTGATGGGTCCTGGAAAAACACATTGTTCCCCAATTTAAAAAAAAAAGAATAAAGCAGACAAAGTCCCTGACCTGATGAAGTTTACAGTCTGGCACAAGAGGCAGAAAACTTTAAAATAATAATTATATAATATGATCTTAGATAATGATAAGTACTAATAAAAAATAGGCAGGATAATAGGAGGAACAGTGATCTCAGATAGTGATAAGTGCTACAAAGAAAAATCAGGCAGGGTAGGAAGACAAAGAGTGACAAGCGTGCTATTTTACATAAGGAAGCAAGGGAAGAGTTGTCTAAGGAAGTGACATTTCAGCAGAGACCTGAATGAAGTAAGGAAGCATTGAGGGAAGAGGGGTCGAGGCAGAGGAAGTACCAATCCCAAAGGCCCTGGGAGCAGGAATATTTTGACATGATGGAGAAAAATCAAGAAGACCACTGTGGCTGGAGTGCAGTGAGAAAGGGAAAGGGTATTAGGAGACGAAGTCTGAGAGGTAGCTGTGTGTCTGATCACGCATGGTCTTGGTATGGACTTAGGTTTTATTTTCAGTGTTATAGGAAAACACCACTTTGAAACAGGACTCTGGCTGCTGTGTGGAAAATAGATCACTGGGGACAAAGAGTGGAGAGCAAGAGACACTGTGGCAATTCAGGTGAGGGATGATGGTGTCTTGAACTTGAGTGGTAGAAATGGAGGTGGTAAGAGGTAGTCAGATTCTGTACAGATTTTCAAGGAAGCACCTGCAGAATTTGTTGATGGACTAGATATATGTAAGGTATAAGAAAGAGAGAATTCAAGAATGATTCTGAGATACTGGTTGAATAATGGTACCACTGACTGCAATAAGGAAGACTGAGGGGAACAGTGAAGAGCAGGTAGTAGGGGATCATGAAGTCAATTTGAACATGATCTCTTAGAGAGGCCCATTAGACATCCAAGTAGAAACATAGAATAGGCAATTGGAGTTTACCAAGTGCAGATTAAAGATGGGGAGTCATCAGCATATAGATGGTATTTAAAGCTTGGAATGGTTGAAATCACTTAGGGAGTGAGTACAGATTGAGACTAGGTGAGAGGACTGAGCCCTAGGGACTTGTAATGCCTAAAAGTCTGAGACAGAAAAAGGAATCAGGGCCAGCCGAGTGGCGTATTGGTTAAGAGCTGACTGGAGACGCCAGCTCTGGGCAGCAGGGCCCCAGTTCAGATCCCACATAGAGGGCCAGTGAGGCTGCGCCCTGTACAGCTAAGATGGCGAACAACAGCTCGCCCTGGAGCTGGGCTGCCATGAGTCGCCAGCGACAACATAGGCTGCAGCCTTTGCTGCAGTGGGCTGCCGTGAGCTACCGTGAGTGGCTGGCAGCCAGCGTGCGCTGCCGTGAGAGGCTGTCCCAATGGCTGGTGACCAATCTGCCTCACCCGGGAAGAGTGCAATGGTCATAATACCAACATGGGCCAGTGAAGCGACGTCCTCCACAACTAGACTGAAGAACAAAAGGACAGCAACTTGTCTGTTCCCCTTCCCAGATTCCCCAATGCTGTTCCCCTCCCCCCAATTCCCAATAAAAATAATCTTAAAAAAAAAGGAATCAGACACTTTGAGAACGGGGAAAATTAAGGTAGAGGGAAGATCAGGAGACTGTGGAGTCTTAGAAGTAAATGGAAGTGTTTCAAGAAGGATGGAGTGCTCATCTCTGTCAAAGGCCACTGAGATGGGGACTAAAATGAGCATTGATTGACCACTGGAACTGGCAATATGTCCAGTTAATTAACCTTGACAAATGTGGTCTAGATGGTGAGGTGGGAAGGAAAGCCTGTATGAAGGAAGTCAAGAGAAATGGGAAGTGAGGATGCAGAAACAGCTAATACAGGCACCCTTTTTAGAAGCTTTGATATAGAAAAAAAACGGCAAAGAAATGGGGTTATAACTGGAGGAGAATGTAGGATCACGGAAAGGTTTTATTTCTGTTTAAGATAAAAGCTATTACTGCATCTTAGAGGCGGAGTGGGAGGAGGAGAAGATACAGTGTATCTTTTTCTGAAGGATGAATTTAGTTTGGAGGGAGGTGTGGATACAGTGTTACAAGGTTAAATAGAAAACAGAAAAACTGCCCTGGGTGGCTTCCAGATGACAGCCAGAGAAAATTCTCACTCGAGAACCCAGTTTCGCTGCTTGCAGACTCTCCCCAGTTCCCAACTACTCACCCAACACCAGGACCATCTGGCCGCACAAACAATAGTAGACGTGGAGGGGCTTCTCGCCATCGTCGTATTCCTCCCGATCTCGGGTGTCGGAGCAGACAACCGACCGGGAAACAACTTTAGGCATAGTTCACAGGAGTGGCCCACAAACTCAGCACCAAAAATAAGGGTCGAGCCTAAATGACGTCATAGACGCGCGTCGAGCCTTTTCCCGTAGGTGACTCTAGTCATGTGTCACTAATAGTCATGTAGATTTCCGGGCGGTCCCGTTTCTAGTCATGTGTCACTAATAGTCATGTGTCCTTCCGGGCGGTCCCGTTAGGCTTAGAAGTTCGGGGGCCGCACAGAGCCGCCCAGAAACTTTTTTGCTTTGGCCTAAGTTAGCTGGGACTGCTTTACTTGGGACAACCTTAATATTATTTATTCATTTATATTTCTATACGCATATGCGTGTGTGTGTGTGTGTGTGTGTGTGTGTATATATAACCGGATATAACAAAGACAATATCCACACATATATACATAATACAGATTTTAGGTGTGCCTCTATGATTTTAATGACTGTATTCAGGATGAGTATCAAATGAACTAGAAGCATGTTTTTAAAGCTGAGATATAAGTCTCATAACATAAAATTCACCCTTTTAAAGTGTATCATTCAGTGTTTTTTAGTATATTCACAAAGTTGTACAATCATCACCACTGTCTAATTTCAGAACATTTTCATCATCCACAAAGGAAATCCAATATTGTTAGCGGTCACTCCCCACCTTTTCCCCTAGCAATCCCTAATGTACTGCCTGTCTCTATGGATTTGCCTCTTCTGGACATTGCATATGAATGAATTCATACAATATGTGGCTGTTGTTGTCTGCTTTCTTTCACTTAACAGTGTTTTCATGGTCCATCCATGTTGTAGTGTGAATCAATAGAAAGTAATAATGAATCAGGAAAATGAACTTCATTCGTTTTTGTAGCTGAATAATATTTTGTTGAATGGATATACCACATTTTGTTTATTCATTCATCACTTGATGGACATTTGGATTGTTTCCATTTTTAGGATGTAATGACTAATGCTACTATGAACATTGGCATACAAGTTTTTGTGAGGATATGTCTTTTTAGTTCTCTTGGGTGTATACTTAGGAGTTGAATTGCTGGGTGATATGGTAACTTGATGTTTAACCTTTTAAGGAATTGCCAAGAGTATTTTCCAAAGTGGCTTTACCGTTTTACCTTCGCATTCTGATTTCTTCATGTCCTCACCAATAATTATTTTTGTCTTTTTGATCATGGCCATCCTGGTGGGTCTGAAGTGGTATCTCGTTGTGGTTTTAACTTGCCTTTCCCTGATGGCTAATGATGTTGAGCACCTTTTCACGTGTTATTAGTCATTTATATATCTTCTTTGGAGAAATGTCTATTCAAATCTTTTGCCCATTTTTAATTGGGTTATTTGTCATTTTATTGTTGAATTGTAAAAGTTGTTATACATTCTGGATACTAGACCTTAATCATGTAAATGATTTGCAAATAAAGGCATCATACTGATCCCGTTTGCCACAGGTATAAGGGAACATCTCCCATCCTTCCTTTCCCCAACTGAGAAACTCTTCCAGGATGCTCTTTGTGGAGGACAGCAGCCTGGAGCCATCCAGAATAAGGACATTGAGACAGTTTACATTGAATAACTTCAATAATCCAAGTGATGACACCAAAATAGTGGGGGTTTAACAGAGAGCTTACTGAAGATAGCAGGAGCATGATTAGAAAATTGACAAGCTGGCTGGAAGAAGTGTAGTGTTCAAGATACACAAGATGTAAACCAATGGGAATTTAAAGCAATCTGCTAGCCCTTGAATGAACATGGGTTAAATAAAGTATAAAATAAATATCAATGCAGGTCATAAAGAATCACAGTGTTGGCTCCTTAGGTCTTAGTCCAATGTCATCTCTATGATTCTATGTTATTCAGTATTCATGGATCTTCTACTGTTTGTCAGGCACTGTGCTATATACTGGTTGTATAGTGTATAAACAGTCTTGCTCCTTCATGTGGCTTAGTCTAGAACTTAGTCTAGTACTTTTTCTGTAAAGGAATAGAGAGTAAATATTTTATGCTTTGAGAGCCAAGAGGTAAAATCAAGAACATTATGTAGGTACTTGTATAATAAGAAAGAAAACAAATTTCCACAAATGTTTTGTTGGTGAAGTTCAAAATACAATAATAATTCAATATATTTTTTTGAAATACAGGTCTGCTAATGAGAAAAATGGCACTTTTTGATGGCAATGGATAACATTCACTTAATTAGGGTTCAAAGTGAGGTGTTCCCTATCATCAAAATTAGTTGCAATCTCAATACACATTTAAATTCTTTCATATCTGGTCAAGTTGAGATTTTTAAGAATGTCATTCTTAATTTGTAATAAAAGTTTACAACTTGATTTTTTCAAGAGTTAACAAGCTGCAAGCACCTGTTAATAAAGGTCTTAAATAATTTTTACAAATCAGTTGCAAATATTCATCTGTTAATGCTTATCTGTAATGAGATTTTATATATTTCATCTTTGAAAAAAATAACAAAGATAAGTACTACCATACTGATATCGATCCACAAATGACTGATTTTAACTGAGTATATTCATCTCTTAGAAGGCATTTAGAAAACTCTATTAGATTCATCTCTTGATATTTGCTTTTTAGTATGTCATTAATTTGCACTTCCAATTGAAGTTTAGGTAGAAGCTCCTCAAATGCACAAATTGATTTTGAAATATAGAAATGTCCTTTGCACCTTGCATTGTGGTCTGAAAATGCTACTGGAACTATAATTTAGGCTCAGAAAAAATACCCACTGCAACTTTGTGTGGTACTGCAAATCTTTATTTTTGTTTTAACTTTTTACAGCACAGGAAGTGATTAAAGTAACCTGATATTATTTTGATTCAAACAATGTTAGTTGTCATTGAAATGACTTTACTGCAGAATGTTTCACGTATAAACAGTGTGTTGCCTTGTAATTTTAGGTTAAATTAATTAAGTAACATCAAGCCTACCATAAAAGTTAATTTCAAAAACCATTCAGTGTTCATAAATAGTGGTTGAGGGTGACCCTTTTTGTTTAGAAAAATTTCAATCTCAGCCCTGAGCTTAAAAAAATTTCAAAACAACCACTGCTAAGCTATTGAACTGCTATTAGTAGGGCAAGTCAGAATATTTAGCTTATATTTCTGACAAAAATTTGTGAAACAATGGTTTTGTCCATGAGAGCGAATGAAGTTCACTCTTGACACTAATGGTTGAATAACACAAGATAGATTTAAATATTTTTCTGCAAGTTACCTGTTGTTTTATAATGTAATAAATAACCATAAGATTTAAACAACCTACATTTGCTCAAGCTTTGTGCATTTGTCCAACTCAGCACTTTTCTGCTCCATATATATTTGTAATGTATGTTAGCAGATTCTACTTCAAGTTGTATTGAACTAGTGTTTTCTTGACTTCTTTGAAAATATTCTCATCTGTCGTTGTTCCACACAGACCACCCATACAGGCCAATTCTTCCATCCCTTTAAACTCAGCATTGACTCTTTGAGTAAACAACAACTGAAGAGTATTAGTAAATCTGTTAACTCATCAAGAGCCAAGGAAAACCACTTGAACTTATTTTCCCTGATTTTTAAATGACTATTGGTTAATTTCGATATCCTTAACTCTTTGAGCGATTGTTCTTGTTGAAAGGCTAATAGTCTTTAAAAAGTTGATTTTCTCTGGACACATTTCTTTGGCTTCTGCAATCAAACGTGACTTAATTAACTCACCATCAGTAAATGGCTTTCCTTGCTTGCATAAAAAATTAGCCACTCAAGAACTCACTTTGGCTGCAGCATCATTTTCATTTTTTAGTTTTGCAAAGAATTCTGCTATGATAAGATATTCCATTTTAAACTTTCTAATATTTCTGATCATTGCTTTCCTGTGAGCTGGGAACATTGTGATGAGCACTTAATTTGGTACTATCCGTGTATATTGTATTATTTTAGCAATGCTACAGTGTCACTGTATAATAAACACAATGCTTTCACATCTAATTTGATAACCAAGTAATCTACACTTAGAAGCACGATATTGAAAATCCACTTTTATTGTCTTGTTTTGACATGATAAGTATGCACTTGCAATTTTTAAAAATGCCACAATATGGTGATACGTGTAGCACTCAAAACACTACTGAGTTATAACTGCATCACTGCGATTTGTAGTTAACTGATCAACGTGTGAAGTGATGAGAGCACCAAATACAGTTTCTGTCACAGCTATTCAACTCTGTCACTGTAGCACTAAAGCAGCCACAGGCAATACATATGAAAGAGTGTTGCTGTGTCCCAATGGAACTTTATACATGGACATCGAAGTTTGAATTTCATATCGGCTTTATATGTCATGAAACATTAAATATTATTATTATTTTGATTTTTTTCAACAATAAAAAAACACAGAAAACCAGTCTTAGCTTGCAGGCCATAGGAAAAAAGAGGGCAGACTGGATTTGGTTGTAGTTTGCTGGTGGATCTTGCTTGTTTGATTGAATTCCCATGAGCAACACTGTAGCCATGTGTGTTAAGTTTCCTGTTGCTACTGTAACAAACGACCACAAACCTAGCGGTTTAAGAAAACACAAATGTATTATCTTACAATTCTGGAGATCAGAAGTCCAAAATCAATCTCACTGGCCTAAAGTCAAGATGTCAGCAGGGCTGGTTACTATCAGAGGCCCCAGGGAAGAATCCATTCTTTGCCTCTTCCAGCTTCTAGAGGCTGCCCTCATCCCTTGGTTCCTCAGCTGGTGGCTGTATCACTCCAATCTCTGCTTCCACCATCACATGGCCTTCTCCCTGAATTTGGACTCCTCCCTCCCTCTTATAAGGATGGGTGTAATTCCATCAGGACCACCCACTTAATTCTAGATAATCTCCCCATCTCAAAATTCTTAATTTAAATTAAGTTAAATTAATTTAATTTAACTGCAAAGTCCCTTTTGCCATATAAGATAACATATTCACAAGTTCCAGAGATTAGGACATGGAGATCTTGGGTTGGGGGGCATTATTCAACCTAGTACATCATGCCTTTTTTTCTCTTTTTTTTTTTAAAGATTTTTATTGGAGAATTGGGGGATGGGAACAGTG